TACTTAGAGACAGGGTCTCACTGAGTTGTTAGTGCCCATCATTGCTGAGGCTGGCTTTGAACTCGCAATCCTCCTGTCTCGGCCTCCCGAGCTGCTGGGATTACAGGTGTGTGCCACAGTGCCCAGCTGAATGATTTCTTATAACAACCTAAAAGATGGGATTTTTAAAAATTTAATTATTATTTCTAAATATTTTTCAAACAAGATGAAATCACTGACGAGGGTAACTGTTTTAAAGGACTATTTATACGTAAGACTGAAAAGACAAATAGGCTTCATTTTCAGAAATTCTGGTATGTTTGCTTGGACCAATTTTTGCTATTTTATTTAATGAGGCGAAAGGTAAAACAGGTTCTGACAAGCTGAGTGGTGTGGGTTGCACTGGGTCTTCTCTGCAGAAGTAGCCTTGGCTGGCGTGGGCAACTCGGGGTGTGGGGCAGGACCTTCTGTCCTGAGCCAGCACTGACATGCTGAGGTATCAGGAGCCAAACTGCTCCAGGAGTCATTTCTGCCATTAGATATTCACACCAAGAGTCTACTGCCTTGAGTCCCAGCTGATCACAACCTCTCAGGTGAGCCAGGGCTGCCTTAAAGGCCACTTACCCAAATTCCTCTCCTGAATGTGCCAGACATAGTGTTTATTAGTTATTTAAAGCATCAACGGCATCATGGTCTGAAAAGTCTATGTCAAGTCAGAGCAGCAACGAAAAATAACTTGATGTCTCTTAAAGAGTCTATACAGGAAAAACCACCACCACCACCACCACCACCACCTCCAACACCTCATGCAATTCTCCTCGCCGAAGGCCAAAACAAGCTAAGCAGCACACCAGCCAGGGTCAGAGCCGACTCTGCAGGCAACATCCTCACTCAACACTGTAATCCCCATATTCCATTTTTAACCAGAAAACCAGAAAGGGCTCAAAGACAGAACTTCTCATTTTCCCAGTGGACTGCCCAGAATCAGGGTTCTCTGCATGTTTTCACTGCCAGCTCCCAGACTCTCAGACCACGCAGAAGCTTCCACATCAGCCCCTGCTGACACTGGCAAGGGCTCTGGGCCAGGAGCACAGCACGGGAGGAAAGGATCGGCACTGACAGTGGGTGTTTCCAGAGCATAGGAGCCAAAGGAGACGGCCGCTTGTTTCTGTGGAGAGTGCAGAGCAGCCTGCTGCTCTCCTGGGGCAATGTGAAGGTGCCAGACAGTCAGAAAACTCCTGCTGCAGGGGAGAGAGAACCACACTCATACCACTTTCTTGGATCTGGATGAACAATGAAATGGCAATGTTAGGACAGGCAGCAGAATAGTGCCCAAGAGCGTGATGTTCGTGCACTTCCTGGGCAGAGCAGGAAGGAGGAGGCCCCCCCTGCCCCCACAGCAGGGACGGCTGGGACTGCGAGTGCCAACGCTGCTGGGAGGCTTGGGCACCACCGTCCCACGAACACCACTTGGAGAATAGATACAAGGAAAAATAGAATCCAAGCCAAATAACGGAACTGGAGGGAAGGATGAATGAACAGGATGTCTGGATGGAGTAACCATCCAGACAGTGAGAAGGCCTTTATTTCACTTCATGAGATGATAACATTTGCCTCTATCACCTACATAAGTCACAGCCAAATAAGAGCTTCTTAAAAGTGAGAGAGCCTTTATTAGCTGCTGTGTATGAATGAGAGTGCAGAGCAGACATTTCTACTGACACCTGGTTCCAGAGTGTGGAAAGAGGCACCCAGTCCAGTCAATGAAGGATGACCTCAGCCGTCCTTCCTTCCCTACCAAGATGCCACAGACTTTGGGGGGGGGGGGCTACACCCAGTTACATACTCCTCACTCACTCAGAACCCCCGTGGGAACCTGCTAGAAGAAAATATAAACCAGTGTTTAGCAAGGGCTTGAAATCTTGCCTGAACACAGACAGAATGAATTACATACTGAATGGTACTCAGATTAAAACATTTAAAATTATTTTTAAAGATATGTATCTGAAAGTAAAAATCAAAGCAGATTAGATTTTTTGAATCTGTACAATAATAAGGCAGGCAAATTTGGAAATGCAGGCACTCATTAAAAGGTCAGTAAAAGTATTTTTAATACCATCAGGTTCTGATCTCTATATCAAATCCAGTTAGTAACAGTTTTCTGAGCATTTTATGGTTCAGCTTGGAGATAGCATCTCTCTAAGTCATTCCAACTTCAGATCCTCCTGTCCCTCCCAAGCTGCCGGGGTGATGGGCACCACATGATGTACATGTCCAGCTGGGCAGACACGTTAAGAAATGAGTTGCAGTCTCTAAGAATGATCTGATTCTAAAATATACCAGAGAGAGACTTTTCAATGATAGCACCGCAAAAGAAATGAAGAGATGTCAAGTCTCAGGCTTCTCGGGACCTAACACCACCACGACCGACTCCCAGCACTGTGTGAGCACCATCCCTGAAAGGCACAGTGCCGGGCACACAGAGGGACCGTGCATGCCATCAACTGAGCTCTACGTGTTTCAGAGTCACCATCAATTCCAGCTCATGCAAGTCGAAGGGACAGGCACATGTGCACCCAAGGCAACTCACTTGCCACCCTTCCTCTGGCAGCTGCTAGGCAGAGCTCTTTAACAGAAAATGACTAACAGTTTCTTGACATCCTTTTACTTTTATTGTTTATCTCTTGGCAGAAATATTAAAACACTGAGAAATGGACCCAAAAGATAAAGGACTTGGCAAATACATATCATCTCTGTTAAACATGAGAAATGGCTTCACTTTGTGCTGAAGCTCTGTATGCACTTTTATTACTTCAAACTGCAAAAAGTGGGCATTGTGTTTATCTTATATATAAATTAAACATGGAGAATGTTTAAGGAACAATGTAACACAACATGTGGCTACACCTGGAAAGGAGTGTGTAACCAGCCAGTACCTCCATGAAGCAAAGTCTGTTCCAGCTCAGAGTAGATGTGGAGGTGAACTAAGTGCTCTTTCCTGAGAATAAGAGACCTTCTTTTTTTGTGTTTGTTTTTTGTTTTTGATACTGGGGATTGAACCCAGGGGCACTTAAGCACTGAGCCACATCCTTAGCCCTTTATTGTATTTTATTTAGAGACAGGGTCTCACTGAGTTGCTTAGGACCTCAATAAGTTGCTGAGGCTGGGTTTGAACTTGCAATCCTCCTGCCTCAGCCTCCCGAGCTGCTGGGATTACAGGCATGTATCACTGTGCTTGACTATAAGTGACTTAAAAATCTGTTGAAGCCACAAATATTCTGGAGACCTATGCATACACAAAATCCTTTTTAAGATGCAGAACCCATCAGGAACTGCTTTCTTCTGGTGCTAGTGGAGAGGGCAGGAGCCACATCTTTGTCCATGTTTGACTTGTACAGCTCATTTAACAAAGGGCTGGGGGTAATGACCATGGCACTGCCACCTACTGCCATATATTTTAGTAATTAGCATTTGGCACACACAAAATATATCAGCACTGGTAAAACCACACCCCTGTTTAAAGACTCCACCATCTACCTCACCCTTAGGGATCTGCTGGGAGGGAAGAGAGCCTGGCCCTGAATTTCACAAAGTGTTCACTACATTGAATTTGATTTTAAAACACACTGTACCATGTACCATCCAGAAGGACAAAAAGCAGACATAACGCTAGGCTGAAATGCTGAATCCATGAAGCACGTTCATCCTGAGTAAGGCTGGGTACAGCCTTATCAGTATTTCTTTCCTATAAGGAGTCTTTATCTTGTTGTTAAAATCAAGGAAACAAACTAACTGGAAATGGAATGATGCCTGCCCATGCTGTGCTTGCAGAGCAATGGACTGTACTTTAGCAAAGATAAAAACAATGCAAATTAGAAAGAAGGATTTTAAACCAAAACCACCTAAAGCATTAGCATCTTGATGCCTAAACACAGGTTTAGTTCAGACAGACAGACAGAGATGTCCCTCTTACCTCCTCTCCACTTCAGGGTCAAGGACACAGTGATACTGAGTCAGGACATGGGCACAAGTTACATCAATCTTACTTAATATGTAGTACCACCTATGTCCTGCACAGTCAGCACACTCAATAAGGCTACGCAAGTCAATCCCAAACATTACCTACACCCATGGTTTTCAAACTGCCTTTACATGATAACTGTCCCCCTTGAAATGATTAAGCCTTGTGCCAAAACCTTACATGGTACATAAAAGATAAAGCAGAGATGCTGAGGCTGACAGTCAACCTCTTGGTGACCCTCTTGAAAATCCAATGAGCAGAGTTTGGAAACCACTCAAATAATATGTACTATCTATGCTGCCTGGCAATTAATTTATACCAACTATTTASAGTTTAAGTTAAACAAGTCAAACACTGATTGGTGTATTGGAACCTGAAGAAAACTAGCACTCGGGTGAGTAGTGAAGTCTAAAAATATTCACTAAGAAGTTAAAGGACAAGGGAAGGTTTGTACATCATCTCACTATTTGCTGCAGTGGAAAGAACGTGAAAAAATTTTGCTTCAAAACTTCAGTCTGTGAACTGAAATCACAGATCACCAGTGTCGTTGCTTTTAGTTTCTAAATCATGATTTACCCCAATTATAAATTAGGGTAATTACACTGAGTTTTTGTGGAAAATATACAGTGTTAGTCATGGGCTTTGCAGAGACCAATTTCTGTACACAGTCTTGGCAGCTATTACCTAAGTGTCCCAGCAAGGATTTCAAAGATATTTTGCAGAAAAATTTTGTTTTTCTTTTTCTTTTTAAAATAGAGAAAACTGTAAAATATAAATGAAATGCAAATATGTAGTAGAAACTGCTTATCCTGATTTGTAACTACTCATATCAAACTTCTCTTTAGGAAAAGGGAAAATGTATCCAGTACAATTGAAGCAACATACAATTTATTATTATTATTTTTAATGGTAACAGATTTTCAAATTGAGTTTTTAAAAAGTACATTTAACTACAAAAGTAAGATTAAATAGGTACTTATAAAATATATTTACCCTGAAATGGTTAAGAATATAAAGTGTTGATGCCCATGTCAATAATACATTATACATTACACACATTAAAGGTCATTTTCTTTCCATTAATAATGTAATAAAACCACAATATTTATTGCTTGTATCAAGTGCAGGTTAAAATCCAGATAGCCTTCAAATTCAAATCCTTGTGATAAAGGATTTCTCAATGTTGGTCGGGTGAAATTACGTGTCACACTTGTGAATACAGGTGCAGAATGTATCGATTTTTAACACGCACGAACGTCTTTATTTTAGACAGCCGCTTACAGTTTAGGTTTCAGAGGCACCTGCAGTGAAGAGTCCTGAGATGCTGGGCTGGGGTTAAGTCTCACTGATCTGGCTGATGTCTATTCTACTGCACCGTTTTTGGGGTAGGAGGCGTTTGCTGCTAAAAGACAGACCCTTGTGATTAATGCAGCAACGTCAGTACTAGTGCAGAAGCTTGCTGGGCAAAACTGTTTATTTATAGGACATTTTGCTGAAAAAACAGAGTCCAGCCAACCAAAGCGCCAACCAAAATGACTGACACAAACCCCATCTTAGTGAGCACAGGCTGCCAACATAACCACCTTTTTCTTTTTCGTTCAGTCTCATTCAGCCTCTGTTTCATCTGCTGCACCTTCTGAGCAGTGGTGGCTTTTCTGTCCTCTCGAATACGTCTCCGTAGAATACTGTGGATTAGAAATAATAATGATAAAAAGAAGGTACGCATAGCAGAACAAGATCACTCTGGTCTAAAGGATCCGGACACTGATAAGACCACACACATCCACATGTTCTTCAAGTCCTTCAATCACTGCAATAAACAAGGGGAAGCCCCAGTACTCCAAATGGTCCAGAGATGTGCTCTGATAACTCAGCAATCGCTTCTGGTACAGTTTTATATTAATGTATACTTTTAACAGGACCTGAAAATAAGCAAGGCTCTTTTTCAAACTGTGAACTGGTGCCCATCAGTTTTCATTCCCTCCTTTTTTTTTGGCAGGGAGGGTGGGGGAGGTTCTGGGGCGTTGAACTCAGGGGCACTCGACCACTGAGCCACATCCCCAGTCTTATTTTGTATCTGATTTAAAGACAGGGTCTCACTGAGTTGTTAGTGCCTCCCCGTTGCTCAGGCTGGCTTTGAACTTGTGATCTTCCTGTCTCAGCCTCCCGGCAGCTAGGATTACAGGTGTAGCCTCTACGTACAACTCCTTCTTTCTTTGCCAGCCAGTCTGCAGATGCAGGAATGGGAAACAAGGAGGTGCTCTGGCACCTGGTCCTCTGTACTATCATCTGATGTTTCAAGGCCCTTGATAAGTGCCATCTGTTAAAAATTTCCATGGATACTCTACTGTGACAGGGCCTACTTTTCTTTTTATTTATTTTTGGTACTGGGGGTTAAGTTCAGGGGCCTGAGCCACAACCCCAGCCCTATTCTGTATTTTATTTAGAGACAGGGTCTCACTGAGTTGTTAGTGCCTTGCCATTGCTAAGGGTGGCTTTGAACTTGCTATCCTCCTGCCTCAGCCTCCCCAGTCACTGGGATTACAGTGTGCCACCACGCCCAGCAAGTGGGCCTACTTTTAAATTTATCCTTACACTTTTCTAGCTCCTGTTTTCCTATTCAGTACTGGTCAGCATAAGCTCCTTGACTCCCAAGATACTCAGACTCAGCACTACATAAAGAATGGCCAATGGCAAACATCAATTACTACTTCTTCCCTTTAAAAATCTCTCACAAAACTCATCTGCTCTTTTTGCTTATTGTCTGTGATATGGCAAAAGCCTAACCAGTTTCCCAGTAATTTTTCTAAAGTAGTTTTGAGCATGCAGCTTAATTTTAAAAAAATGAGTTCCTCTTCAATGTCTACTACATGAAGACACAACTTTTCTTCCTGGCCAAAATGTTTAATCTGAATCAAATCATGAGAAACAATGAGAAATAAAGACTGTGGAAAAAGACAATTGGTCAAGTGAGGGGAAAAAGAAATGGAGAACTGTTCCAAATTAAAGGAGAAACTTTAAAAACCACATCAATCAAATATAATCAAAAGCATGACCCTTGATTAGATCCTGAATTACTTTTTAGAATAGTTCTAGAAATTGGGATAATCATAAAAATGTTCTAAAATTATGTTATGGCCTTAGCCACAAAACTCTGTAAATATTAACATCCACTGAATTCTATACTTTAAATAACAGGAATGGAGGGAAGGAAGGAGGATGGGAATGGGAAAGACAATGGAATGAATGGGACATCACTCTCCTATACATGACCAGTGTAACTCCACATCATGTACAACCACAAGAATAGAAGTTACATTCCATGCATATATGATATGTCAAAATACAATCTACTGTCATGTATATCTCTAAAAAAGAATAAATAAAGAGAAAAAGAAACCCAAAACACAAAAAAGAATCTTATTTTATCATGTTACATTTCTCTGATATGCTGGAACCTGCAGATGTTGCTGACCGACGTGTCCAGGCAGAATCAGCACAAACAGCCTTCAGCTCTGCACTACTTTTCATGCCCAAACACTGCCCCCCACCATCCTGTTCTTCAGATTTGTTTCCCACAAAGACAGAATCTTCCCTTTTATCTTGGTCCTCTMGTTTCTATTCTATTCTTCAAGTCTTCCTCTTCTCATCCCCTGAAACCCTTGTGTATTTATGGTATTTAATTTATAGTAAATAATTGACAATTTGCTAATAATTTGCTAATTTGGGTACTTGCTTCTCATATTAGTAACTGAGGAGTATATTTTGCTTACCTTTAATTCCTATAGTTCTTCTGCACATCTTTTTCATTTTCACTTATTAAGTAAACAGGCCCCCCTGGCTGTTTGAATTCCATCCGAATATTTACTTGCAAAAATTATTACTGAGAATACTCTCTGAATTGAAAACTCGTAGACAAATGCACATACTGCTAGTAAAAATATTCAAGTTGTGTTCAAATACAGGAAATACATTTATAAAAGATGTAATGAATCCATTAAGTGATATGATTATATAATTAGTGCTTTACATCTGATATGAGTTTAAAAGGGCTGCCCAGAGGAGACCATGTGGAAAGCCTTGCAGTTGCACACAGTGGGCTTCTGCCAACACATGCCCTGGCAGGCACATTCCACACTACGCACACTCTCAGGAGAGGGTCCAAATGACTGAACTTTTCAAATACCCCAATTATTTATTCTCATTTGCAGAACACTGACTTTCAAATTTAAGACTGCAAGACATAGTAAGAAGCATCTTACTACCCCCAACCCCCTTTAAAAGCACATTTTGTAACAGCTCTGTAATTCTGGAGTGATTTTGCTAATCTCTGTGCCATGAGACTCAAGACATGGGAAGGTTAATTCACTGGACTATGGCTGGCCTGTGTCTTTAAAACCAAGACAACACTCCAAAATTACAAAGGATCCCAACCCAGTCACCAAGCTCATTTTTCCTAATTCTGCACATAGTACTTAATCAAGGGGTGGGTGGTGGCAACAAATATGCTTGTGACAATCTTATTATGAAAAAATTATTGAAAAAGATAACAGCAATTTAAAACAATATTACTTTGTGGTTTTGGGGATGCTACTCAGTGGCAGAGTGTTTGCCTGACAAGTGAGGCACCCCAAGAACCTTCACATTGCACACACGCACACCGTATACTTCATTTAAAAGTACTAAATTTAAGGTGGAAAAAAATATACTTGTACAAATAATTTCGTGCTTTCACTAGTCATCTTAAAACTACTAAAACCATAATAAGGAATAATATATCATAATTAATGATTCAAAAATAAACTATTCAAGTCTAAAAACCCATGACTATATAGTGAAATGTTAGTTTTTATAAATTTTAAGGCATGTAATCTTCTTTTCTGTTGCTGAGGATTGAGCCTAGGGCCATGCACACACTAGGAAGAATGTTCTACCACTAAGCTATACCCCCAGGCCCATATTAGGAAAAGAGAAAAGTGAAGCTATAATGTGTAGTTGCCCTTGACTATTTTCATTGTTACATTCCAAAATCCTGATCTAACAAAATAACTGTAACATAAAAATTCTCAAAGTAAAAAGTGTATTTCACAAAAAAAGAAAAGAAAAAAAATTTCATTTGGAGACAGAAGAAGAAAGAGTTCATTCACTTTGCTAGATGGCTCATAACCTTAGGATACCAGTTTCCTAATGTGGGTGCGAGCCTTGGACATGTAATTTGTTAATGTTAAACGTTCATATTAATTTAAAACCCAGAAAGTTTCAAAGGGCATTTTAATGTAATTTTTGGGAAAAAGACTTATCTTCCTCTAACAATGGAATTTTTTTTTAAGTATTTTAAGATCTTATTAAAGGCATACTGGGTATTTTTTCTTAAATATTATTTTGGTTGTAAATAGACACAGTATCTTTATTTATTTATATGTGGTGCTAAGGATTGAACCCAGGGCCCCACATGTGTGAGACAGGCACTCACTCTGCCACTGAGCTACAGCCCCAGCCTGTTTTTTGTTTTTTCTTTTGGTACCAAGGATTGAATTCAGGAGCACTCCACTGAGCCATATCCCCAGCCCTATTCTATATTTATTTAGAGACAGAGTCTCACTGAGTTGCTTAATGCCTTGCATTTTGCTGGGGCTGATTCTGAACTCATGATCCTCCTGTTTCAGTCTCCGGAGCTGCTGGGATCACAGGCATGCAACACCACGCCCGCCTTTTTGTATTTTTATTAGAGACAAGGTCTTGCTGAGTTGCTTAGGGTCTTGCTCAGCCTCCAGAGCTGCTGAGATTACAGGTATGTACCACCAAGTGTGGCTAAAGGCATATTGTTAATTGCATTATAACTAATACTAAAAGTGATTGCAAACAGCAATTATTAACACCATTTATTTTCTGTATCATACTGTTCATTTTCCCACCTAATTATAATTAACTTTTCTACTCAACTAGTGTTGTTTCTTCAACTGGTTTCCAAGTATTGACTTTTTGTAATGGGATTCCGAAAACTCCTTAGGTAACAAACAAATGAGCAATTACCCTCATTTAATAAATAAAGGCTTGCATGACTCTGAGCCCCCTGAGTTAACTGAAGCGTACCTGCTGCTGTTTTCCTCTGCTGTGTCCTGCACTTTAGAGGAGAGCCCTGTGCATCGGTCACTGGTTGGTTTCTCTTCTTCTGGACCTATTCTGCTCCCATTGTACTTTCCAGTYATTATTTTGTTTGGTGAATGGTCAAAAGCAGGAGATAAGTCTTCTTTAGAAAGTTCTTTCCACCGTTTCTATGAGGGAAAAGAAATGAAAAACAAATGTGAACACTAAAAATGTAGTTTTCCTTAAATAAAAAGCATCTACAGCCGAGCGCAGTGGTGCACACCTGTGATCCCAGCAGCTGGGGAGGCTGAGGCAGGAGGATCCCAAGTTCTGAAACTCAGCAAGGCCCTAAGCAACTCAGTGAGACCCTGTCTCTAAATAAAATATAAAAAAAAGCAAGGGAGATGGCTCAGTGATTAAGCGCCTCTGGGTTCAATCATCAGTAGCAAAAATAAAAAAGAAAAATTTTACAAATTGAAATCAAGTTATGAAAACCCTGTGATGCTGACAGATGGCATTCTACCAAATCACAACTTTACGCTTGTGTTAAGTTTAAAAACTTCAGTCAATAAAAGCATTTAACACTTATTTTTATGTGCACTATATGAAGTTGAATACAATTATCTTCATAAAACCTAGTGAATTTTATACAAGGATCTCACTAAAGTATTAGTTATAGTAAGACAGTTTTAGCTAAAATTCAATATTGCTTGACTCTTCATCATTCCCAATCCACAGATATTCAACAGTGGCATAGTGACCAAGATGACCTGTAAATGTGATCTGATTCCTTCTTGCTTCTTGCTACTGACCAGTCTAGGTGAGAAACAACAACTAGACTTCCAAACAGGTCCTCGTGATGCCAAAGGACTTTAATTTGGTTGTCCTTACCAGCTACAAGGGCTGCTCCAAACAGCTAACCCATAACCCATCACTGGGCTAGCACACCTGGACATCAGATTTGATGACAAAGAGCAGGATTCAGCCCACGGCGAAGAGAGCTTTCAGTTTCTTCCTTTTTGAAAGACGATGTCCTCACCTACCTTAGGAGAATACTATGGTGATAAATGAGATGGTGGGCGAAGAGCCTAGTATTTTGCCCCACAAAGGTTAAGTTTCCTGCACCCTCTCTGCCCCATTCCTAGGAACAAAGCTGGAGGTGGAAGCACCAGGCATATCTGGCTCCTGGAGTTGAAAGCAGTGGCAGATAGTACAGGCCAAAGATGGAATGACCTTRGCACTGGGACCATGGTCTCTTGAGCCCTGAACACGCTGCAAACACACCACAACCTGTCCACTGCCAACAGCAACAATGGCAGAAGCTAACACTAGTGGAAGCCAATGGTTCTCATTAAGACTGACTTTGACACTGGCCCCAAACAACTGATGTGGACAGGGAAAACCCCCTTTGAGACCCTTTCATAGAAGCATGGAGTCTTGAAACTAAACACTATTTACTGCCCGATGAATGTGATAATTTTAACACTGTAATGTACACTTGCCTGGAATTTGTGGAAAATTCATTCCCTGGAGTTATTTCTTTGTAAAACAGCACTATTAAAAGCAACCCTTCTAAAAAAAAATTCCAGAAAAATCTATTCATACACTGGATAAAGTAGTTTCTAATCTATCTTGCTTTTACCACACAACAGATAAATGAGAAAAAAAAAAAAAAAAAGGCATTCAGCATCTCCACCTTTTCCCAGAAACATCTATTCTACTTAGCTGTATGATTCACAGATCTCTTTTTGTCTTGTAATGGTAAATTTTCAGAAACCTTGGAGAGTGTGACATTCTATAATCTCCTATGTCTGGAAGACACTGCAAAGCACACCTGTTACAACTGGGTGGAGATGGAGAGTCTGAGTGGACAGAACGACCCTGAGCCCCACTGGACTCAACCACATCCAGAAGAATACTGTGCCCACAGTTAAGGAACCACCAGGCAGTGGCATGGAAGAGTGAGATGCTTTCACTTTAGAGACTGCCGGGTTCCTTCTTCCCTGGTTCCAAATTTTTGTTACTTGCCCCAATAGCATTTTTTATAGTGCCAACGCAGGGGAAAGCTGAGGTGAACAAGATACTCATCAAGCACTTGCTGAACCCACACTGCTCCATGCTTCAACCCCACAGCAACCTTAGGAGACAGGCACTGTCATCGCTTCCTTTTACAGAGGACATGGGGGCAACTGAGCTTGGGTAGCTTGCCCCAGGTGAGGCAGCCAATGAACAGCAGGCTAGAATTTAACTCAGACAGTCTGGGCTGATGATGCTGTCACTCTTCACAATGATGATCTATGTTCATGAAAAGTTCAACAACTTCAGCCAAGGGATAGCTTTAAGAAATACCCAATAAAAGGTTATGCTGTCTTCAGAATTAATGCTGGTCCATTTTTAAAGTTTCCATTCTTCACAGAGATCTAGTTACAGCAACTTGGACAACACTCAATCATGTCAATAAATGAGACAATATCAAAAAAATCAAGTCTTACAATTTCCCAGAATGTGCAACAAATTCAGACTGTCAATAAGAAAGACAAACAGCAGAGGCAGGGTGAGGGGCATTTAGTGCAGGAGAACACCAACTACGTCACTCTGCCATGTACCCAAGCAGCAAACCGACTTGTGGTTGCCTTCCTGTGACATCTGAGCCAGCAGGCACCCCCATGTCACCTGCCTCAGCTGGTCACTGCCAATGGGTGACACCAAGGAACAGCACTTCACACAGGCTCTCACGCTGAAGCCTGCCTCAGCTTCCCTTTCCAATCTGGCACTTGAGCCACACTCCCAGCTCACATGCTGTTGGGGACAGTGCCCCACATGCTGCTCACACCCCAATCCCAACCATTTCTCAATAAAGAAAGTACCTCCAAGAGCAAAGTGAAGCTATTAAACTTGAAACAACTGTGATTTGTTAAGTTCATGGGTTCATTTAAGCAGTGCCGAATTACTAGCTAGAGACCTTACAACATCTGGCCATCCTGGATGGCCAAACTATACTATTTACTCTGGAGGTTCATGGTCACCATCACTACTGGGAAACTGCTAATGAGTATGTGGTAATACAAGCAACTACCTTACATGTTTATCTGACCATGTGACAGGAGGCAACCAGAAACTACATGCATCTAGGTAGGTCAAGGTCACTGGAAGGGTTTTATAAATGAATACATGCTATATAATTATACATGGATTTAAGGTACAATCACTCTAGATGGGTAATGGTAACACCTCTCCTTTGTGCCCACACGTCCTAAATCACCGCACATATATTCACATATGCAGACACCATCACAAAAAAACTATCATGAAATTATATCCATTAATGAAAGTACCACTCACACCATATAAATCTAAAGTAAGGGGAAAAAACAAAAGACTGAAGGAGATGACAGATGCCAACTTTAGGAAAAAGGACTAGAGACAAAATTTCATGGGTCAAGTACTTTTGAACAAAAAGGTTCTCTAAAAAAGAAACTAAATCATATGACATGTTCAATTAAAAACAAAATTGGAAGAGACTGAAAGACAAAAATATAAATAAAGAATAAAGACAACAAATAGAAAACAGTAACAAACACAACAGATACCAGATATTATTCCAACTCTATCAGTAATTACTGAATAATAAAGGTCTAAATATACCAGTTAAAAGACAAAGTTTCTCAGAGTTAATAAAAAACAAGAGTCAACTATATACAATGTATCAGAAACCTAATTTAAAAATTAAGACATACATAGCTGGGCACAGAGATGCATGCCTGTAATCCCAGTGGCTCAGGAGGCTGAGGTAGGAGGATCTCAAGTTCAAAGCCAGCCTCAGCAACTTAGTGAGGCTTTAAGTTACTTACTGAGACTCTGTCTCAAAATGAAAAGGACATGGCTCAGTGGTTAAGAATCCCTGGGTTCAACCCCTGGTACCAAAAAAAAAAAAAAAAAAAAAAAAAAGACACACATAGATTAAAAGTAAAAGAATGGAGAAAAATGTAACATGCTAACACTCATCAAAGGAAAGGAGAAACCATAATGATTTCAGACAAAAAGAGGGCCAAATGACAAAGGGGTCAATTCTCTAAGACATAAAAGTGTTTAACGTATGTGCACTTAACAGTAGAGCATCAAGTTCAAAATTCTATCAGAAATGGGCAGATTCAGCAGGAAGAAAATTAGTAAGCAGACAGCCCAACACAAAACCATCATCGATCATGTACCTGGCACCTAGGGAACACTTTATCCAACAAAAGTCACATGGAACATCCACCAAGACATGCCACCAACTGGCCATAAATGCACCTTCACAAAGAGAAATCATACAATGTCTACTTTCAGACCACAGTGGAATTAAACTAAAAGCCAGATAAATCTCCAAAAGTAGAGATAAAACAACATACTTCTAAAACAAAAATACAACATTGAAAATTGTAGGATGCAGCAAAAGCAGGGCTTAGAAGAAGATTTTTAGAAAAGAAGATCTAAAAGCATTATCTAAGTTTCTACCTTAGGAAATTAGGAAAAGAACAAATTGAAATCAAAGTAAGCAGAAGGAAAAAAAAAAGTGAGAGTAGAAATCAATGAAATGGAAAACAGGAAACTCAAGGGGGTGGGGTGGGGATAAGACGTAAAGAAAATCAAAAGCTGATTCTTTGAAAAGATCAATGAGGGGCTGGAGTTGTAGCTCAGTGGTAGAGCGCTTGCCTAGCACGTGCTAGGTCTTGGGTTTGATCCCCAGCACTGCATAAAAATAAATAAAATAAAGGCATTGTGTCCAACTACAACTAAAAAAATAAATATTAAAAAAAAAAGAAAAGATCAATGAAATAAATGAACCTCTAACCTGGCTGAGAAAAAAGAGAGAAGACACAAATGACCAATATCAGAAATACAACACTGGACATCACTGCAGATCCCAGGGATGACAGAAGGATAATATAGGAATATTACAACTCTATGCTCCTGAATTTCATAACCTAGACAAAATGATAATTTTTTTAAGAAAGATACTATCTGTTAAAACTCACACAAGTAACAGACAATCTGAGTAGGCCTGTATTTGTTTTTAAAAATTTAATCAATAGTTAATAACCTTCGAAACAGAAAGTACCAGTTCACTGAATTCTACCAAACATTTAAGAAAGACATGCCTGCCAATTCTCTACAATCTCTATCTATCAGATGCAGGGGGGGGCCCAGCATCACACTGATACCAAAACCAAAGACACCACTAGAAACATGGTTCCTATGTGATACATAGGCTCAAGGAGTGTCCCCCAGATGGTACCATATCTCAGCTAGACAGAAGCTAGTTTTTTCTTCCCAAATAATCAGACACAAAGAGGAGATAGATGTAGAAAAGATTTGTTTTTCTTTCTCCCTCCCATARACTGGTATCACATCCTTCTGTGCCATACAAAATACTTTTGGGGGTTACAGCTAGTTGTATATGGTTTGGGTTCTCATTTTTAACAAAGTAACCTGAGTATAACGTGTATTAAAATTTTATGATTCAGGATTTCAAAGAATTTTCCTTCTCTTAGATTTCTATTCTAAACTAACATTCAAGCACAACACTCTCCAATGAAATACAATATGTGCCATATACATATTTAAAATTTTAGCAGCCACATTGAAAAAACAAATTTAAATAATGTTTTAACTCAAAATATTATCATTTGAACATGAAATCAATATTTCTAAAATTATTGAGATTATTTACACTTTTGTTGTTTTATTTTACATTTTAAGCACATCTTGATTCAAACTAGCCAGATTTCCAATATTTAATAGCACATGTGGTCTGTGGCTATCCTATCAAATGGTGGAGTCCTAAGAGGAGAAAGCCAAGAGAAAATCATCTTCAGAGCGAGTGCATCATAGAACAGTACATGGTATTATAAAAAAAAATATTAATTTAAGAAAAACACATTACATAAACACACATTCCAGGAAGGACATACACGCTATGATCTGAACTTTTGTGTCCTCCAAAACACACAACATCCAACCTTTCACTGTGGTGGTATTAAGCGATGGGACACTTAGGGGGGTCATTGGGTCATGAGAACTCCTCTCTCATTAATGGGATCAGTGCCCTTAAAAGACATCTGAGAAAACCTATGTGCCTGTTCCACCAGTGCGGACACAAAGCCCTCTCCAGACACCATCTATGGGGAATAAGCCATCTCCAGACACCAAATCTGCTGGTGCTTGCATCCTGGACTTCCTGGCCTCAAGAACAACGCGGAATAAGTTTCTTTTGTTTACTAAGGTATTTCGTCATTGCAGCAACAGACTGGGACACCATATGTGCCCAGATGACTACAAACTTGGGGTGGGTGAGTTAATGAGGACTTAACTTTGTATGTAATTCAGTTTCACATTCTTTGAATTCTTTTACAGCCAATGTGTAGTATCCCTAGAGCCTGCTAAGACMACTTCTGAACAAACTTCTCCTTGAATAGGTAACAAGACTTTGCCAATTCTGAACTCCTAAAAGATACAGAGGCATTTTCAATGTCCTATCTGGAACAAGGGCAGAGAATACTTGAAAACTGAGTTTAATGACTACATACCAGATAAATATGTCCGAAACCCATATATATGTAGTGAAAAAGATCCTCAGGTGTAAATATATATATTCCAAAACTAAACAAACAAAACTTCAAAGAAAAAAAAATTTGAAAAGTGTAGAATGAAGGATACTACCCAAAGGACAGCTCACTTTCCCTGCWGTCACTTGTCCAATTACAACCAGGAAACCCACAAGGAAGGCATCAGCAAGCCACAAAGGTGTGGGAAAAGCTTGATCTAACTTTCCTTTTCAAATTCCATATTTAAGCTGATTAAAGTTTACTAAGAAAGAATACGAAACTTTCCTAAACTTCAACATTGAAGTTAATTTTATTCTATCTAAATTACCGTCTACAGCCAAAGCGATTTCAACAAACCCCATGTTCCCAAAGCCTGGTTTCTTTTTTTTTTCTTTTTTTAAAGAGAGAGTGAGAGAGTGAGAGAGTGAGTGAGTGAG